AATTTTTCAAACAAATTGCATCATCTTACAATGGGGACAGTGAATATGCTGAGCACGTGAAATGTTTATTAAACATCTAAGCCTAAGGTATGCAGTCATTGAACTGCATCAATAGAGTTTTTCTTTGATTGCCTTTTTTTTTTTTTTTTTTTTTTTTTTTGGTTGAATACTTCCTGAAATCTCATTAGTTAACTCTTCCTCCAGTTAAAAGTCTAAAAACTCTCCTCTGGGTAGAATACTAGCTACCTTAATCTAATTCCCAGCAGGTGGGTTTTTATTAGCATTTATCCCAATGGCTGAAACCTCTTGGCTTCGAGGCACTGTTGCATTTTACAGGGGAACTGCAGCGGGCGTCAGTCCTTCTCTCCTGTTCTCTCTCCAGAGGGCTGACTAGCAAGAAGGATCTGAGTCTTCCAGAACTCTCTTGTTTTAGTTATCCCACAATAATATCATAATGCATCAAACTGAATCTACAGTATAGGGTATGTTTGCAAAATATAGGCATTGTGACTTTATTTATGTTTTAATTTATCATGTTAAGATTAGCTAAGCACAAAGTAGAGTATTTATGTATGTGATAAACTATGTTTGTATGTATATAAATTTCCATCAACAAAAGTGTTTATAATCAAACCTTATGAAGGTCTTTGCATGCCTATTATAATTAGATATAATACTTTTGAGAGTCTTAGAAGTTAGTAATTTAAAATTTATGTTTTTTTCTGTAATCTATATCTATATAGTGAAGTTATAGAAACTCTCAAGAAACATGAGACAATTTATATTTTATGGGAAAACTTTGATATATTACTAGGATTCCAGGAGTAACTGTACACCTGTCTTTCTTGGATGGTTAAGCATCTCATCAGTGAAACTATGGATCATCTTCCAGGCCTATGATCCTCTGATGCATGTTTCTGATGAAATAGTCATATAAAATAGTCTCGCTTACCTGTTATTTCAAAAGACGGATAGGAAAGGTGCAGCACTAGACTTTTGTGTACTCTGTTACTTTCTGAAATAGCAGGGAAACATACCACAATCATAGCCTTTGTTTACTTTTGCAAAAAGAAGTGCTAACTAAAGTGTGCTTATTATTCACGGTATAGATAGTATGCTGCAAAAATCATGAGTTTACATTTTACTAAGAGGTGTTGGAACTATTTTATTCTCCTTATTTCTTGTTAGAACAGGTGAAACATGAATTTTTCACAGTCACAGTTCATTTGGTTTTCCTTCTATCTACTTTTCATAACCATGTGTGGGTGCTGGGAATTGAACCAGGGTCCTGTGCAAGAGCAGTCAGTGCTTTTAACCATTGAGCCATCTCTCCAGCCCCCTCATTCAATTTTTCTATGATGTAAATCACCTTAATTATGCTTCAAACTGCTTTAGTTTTTTTCTAAATTAAAATCATGCTTAGTCAGTACCAAATGGAAGAATTTCCTAAGTTGCTGTAGCTAAAAGTTATTTTAGTTTTACATTTTGCTCTAGAAGCAATCAATTTTTATCCATGTATCTACTGATGAGCATCCAGTGACCAACATTTTCATCAGCTTTCTTGGATATACACAGGTCATGTGCCCACAGGCTCCATCCTGTCTTACTGTAATAAGGGTTGATTTTGCCCCTGCATGAGCTGGACACCTTTTACAGATGTCCGGAATCCTGATTAGGTGGATGAACAGCAAAGGTCAGCGGTTTCCCTGCTAATTCTTCTCAGTGTAGAACTTGTCAAACCTTTCCTTTAAAGAAGCATAATACTTAAGCATCTTGCTCACCTGGATACTGTGGGAGAAAAATTATCAAGATTTCAAGGGTCACCCACAGCCAGCAACAGCACATGAATGACATGTAGATACTCTCCAGTATCAACTGTAAACATTTTTCAGACTGTCTATAAATGCTACCACTAGCTTCATCAATATCGTGCTGTTAATTCGACTGGAACAAATAGAATAGTAATAGAGTAGCAAGTTGTATTATAATAAACATGTGAGTACATTGATCATATGTTTTAATTTTTTTCGAATTAAAGACATTAACTTCAAGCAGGAGATTTTTTTGTGGCCAGTGTGGGTTGATTTAGTTGATAATAATGCATTACTAATGAATAAAGTGATAAAAATAAAATGATAAAGGTGGCCATTTCTTTATGATTATGTAGTTATTACCATTCTGTTACATAATGGGACCTGTCAAAATAATAAAGGAAGTTTATATGAACTTCATATCACCTGCTTTCCTTTGTGTGTGTCTCTGAGTTCCCCTCCTCTCTCTCTCTCTCTCTCTCTCTCTCTCTCTGTGTAAGTTTATTTTGAATTAAATTATTTTGAATTGAAGTTAAAAATACCTAGGTTACTTTGGAAAACAAATCATCTATAGTACACAATGTGAATCTGCAAGAGAATGATGTGTAATTCATTCTTCAGAGTAAGTACAAAGTGAGTTGCTCTCAGGAGGGACTGTTCTTGGTAACACAGTGAAGGTTTCTTGAAATTAATGTCTTTTTACTGGGCTTGGTTGTATGAGTCGAGGCTCCTCTCTATAACATGTGATTTGGTCTTTTCATATTTACTGAAGGAAAACAGGCTGTGAACAATCTTCACAGCTCACAGCCTAATTGTCCTCCACTCACTGGTCTTGGTAACTTGCATGCGTTGTCTTGGGATGCTGGTGTACTGGATGGGTTTCTACTGGGAAATGTTAATAGCTCATAGGGGAAAGCTCACATGGTCTATGTTCTAAGGGAGAAGAACAGTAATTCTTAAGCAGAATCAGCTGTTTTTACTAAAACTCTAATAGGCTTATTAGTATTCTTAGTATATAAAGGAACACACATTCCCAAGTTACTCATATTGTATATTTCAGTCATAAATATTCATTTAGGTAAAGTAATTATTTCCATGTCTATTGACCTTTCCTTGGCATTTGCTTTATTCTAGCAGATACATCTTAATAATGATATACTTTTTATATTCCTATCATTCCATTTTACTTTTGATTATTTGCACTGGTTTTGAAGAAATGTGAGGGACTCTGCAAAAAACAAAACCCAATGATTTAAAACACATCCAGTTGCAATTCACAATTCTCAAGGATTTTTTGAAAGTAATAACCTACAAGACATAATTGACATTCAGAAACTAAAATCTGATCTACCTCGAGCAATGAAATTTTACTACTCTGGAAAGCCTGCTGTAACAAATCTACCTAAGTGTTAAAAATGCAGCCATTAAAGTGGCCAAGAAAATATTAATGTACTAACATTGCGAGTTTTATGCTACTTCCCCATAACTTCAAGATACATTAGTAGTAAAGTGTATCCCAAGGCTACATTCCCAAATGAGTTGACATGCTGTGTAAAATTAGTGGCTATAGAACAATTAAATTTTGGAAGTTGAAAATGCAAAACTTCGGTGCTTACCTTCAATGAATTACAGTCACTGATGTCAGTCCTTATTGGGGCATCGGAGCCACATAGTTCTAAAGCATCCATCCTCCCAACCCATTTTTTTTTCTGAGTATTTTTGCTCACATTCCTTCTGTGAATACTCCTTTTATTTTTCTTTTATTTTCTGCTATAAACTAGCAGCTTTACTCTTTTCATTTCCCAACAAACACACTTCCTAGGAAATTCTAGCCTATTCACACTTTCTAGTACAATATGTTCAATATGTGTGCTTTGCCTCTACTTTCCTTCAGCTTGTATTCGCTCTGCCTAGAATAAACTCTTACATTCCTTGACCTCTTATCTCTAAATGGCTCAAATGCCAACCCCATCAGCTTTTGTAAAACTTGTATAGTTTTGTGATGATGAATTGAAGGATTTCATGACATGAAATCTCTATTGAGATTTTTATTTTCTCTCTTTTTTTTTTTTTTTTTTTTTTTACAAAAAAATTGTTCTTTGTTGACAACCAATAAAATACTCCTTGGATGGATCAGTAGCGGAAGTCCCATGGTTTCTCAGATCAAAGGCATGTGAGACAGACTGTTTAGAGCCCTGGTTAAAAATGCTCAGATTTGTGTGGATTTCAGATATACTGTTCAGTACAAACTTGACTCAATAATGACAGTAATCTAACTTTTAGCCAGAGCCATTTTGAATTCATTTACTCTTTTGCACATTTATTCATCTGGCCCTCATGCTCAAATTTAAAAAGTAATAAAATATAAAACATATTTGCCAAATTATCAAAAAGGGGAAGCATTGCTTTTGAGTTAAAGCCTCCTTTTATTGTAGTTTCTAATTGTATTTATTTCATTTCAGTACAATTTGAAGCTGGTTATGGTGGCGTAATCTTCAGTCCCAGGAGCTGAATGTTGGAGGCCTGTTTAGGTTACATAGCATGTTACCAGCCAGCCAGTCTGGACAACACAGTGAGATCCTATATTAAAAAATAAAACCAGTTGAGTATGGTGGCACATACCTTTAGTCCCAGCATTTGGGAGGCAGGCAGAGGCAAGCAGATCTCTGTGAGTTGGAGACCAGCATGGTCTACATAGTGAGTTCCAGGCCAGGGCTACAGGGAGACCCTGTCTCAAAAAGACCAAATAAATAAATAAATAAATAAATGAAAAATAATATAATAAAACATTATCGTGATTAGCTTTTTTATCATATTTGAAAAAAATGAGATTTCTTTTAGGAAATTGATTACTTACTATCTAGAAATTTTTACTTTATATATTGCATTATATTCATATTTACAAGATAAATTTTTATTTTAATTTTATATCTAATTACTTCAGCTAAATTTTGGTGCAAGAGGTTTTTATTTAAAAATTATAAAGAGAGTCAGCAACAAGTCAAATCTCACCAGAGGTGCATTAAATTTCTTATCAATCCCCATGTAGACTACTAACTATCTTGGACTCCAACCACACTGTAAACATAAGCAGGGGGCTTCTTTCTGCCCCCACGGTCCTATCTGTATTTCTTCAGAACCACCACATACTCTTCATGACTAAACGACGTAAGAGAAATTTCCACGTACCTTCTTTGTCCTTGCGCATAGGTGAGTGCGAGAGCCCATTTTCGTTGGTTTGCACGCAGTATGCCTCCCGGGTCTGGACGCCTCCTCCGCAGAGGGCTGTCTGATTGGCACGTCTCTTGTCCTGCTGACTGAGCAAAGGGTCGACGCGGCACTCAGTCCACTCCGTAGTTCTCCAGCCATACCTAGGGGAGGAGAATGCCAGGACAGCCGCCATGTTTATTCAGGGAAAAGTCTCTCCACTCCTCTCAGATTTTCTTCTAAAAATTAAAGTAAAAACATTCTCCTTTGGATTGGATCCAGCACAGACTCGTAGTCTGATGCAGATTCAGTTTCAATTGCTTCGTTATCCTCAGTGGAGCCCTCTTTAGAGAAGGGTTAAATGCAGAATGATCCTGTTTTAATTGCAACTGCGGGAAGTTACATATCAATATTTTATGAAATAAGAGCATAATGCTGAAAACATGAAATTTTATGCGCAATTAAACTGAACTCAAGCTTGCCCTTTCTTGATACTTACAAACAAAGGGGGTTGAATCTTAGCGTGGCAAACATTCCAAATGATGATGAGCCCTAACGTCTGTTTTGCTTTTAATAAAACTCATCAAAATTGCTTATCTATAATGGAGCAAAATTATAATTGCATGCTAGGAATTAAAAATATAACAGTAATTCAAAGCTTTCTCTTTACTGTCAGGAATCAGAATTTTTTCGTGTTTCTGCTCTGTAGAACCCAGCATGATGAATACTGATGAATGGTGAAAAGAGCTAACGATGCCAGTCAGTGGAGCACAGGAAAGATGATCCCTGATTCTCAGAGCTCCAGTCAAGATTATGATGTGAAAGGAATGCTGGGGGCTGTCAGTGCAGCGCTTGCTGGAAGGAGATAAGGAGAGAGCTGTTTCCCGGTGTCACTGTCAACAGAAAGTGATGGCTTTCTCCACCTCTTGGAAAACAGATATTTTAAAAGCCCAGAGGAAATGGGCACTCTGTGTCACTCTAACCAAGATGCTCCCGTGGATAAGATTAATAGCCAACATAGGTATAAATGGATGTGCTCATCTCAATTAGACTAAAAGGTTAAGAATGCCCTCAGATATCTGCTCTGTGTGCTTGTTTGTGTCAGTATTGAGCTTCCTGCTGGTGAAATTGAGACTCCTGACAATTTCATTTTTATATGCCGGGATTTGTGGTTGCACAGTTGCAGGGTTTGGTCATCAAGTAACAATACTCAACATTGTTTATGAAGGATGAGCACCCTCTGGTCAATTCTAGAAACACGGATAATTGATGCCTGGTGTGGGGATAGGGTGGGGAGAAATAAAACCAAATACATAATTTGATAAGGATGTTGGAATAGCATTTGTTTTTATTAAATTAGTATTCCAATTTTGGGTAAATCATGGAGTTCTGTGAAGGGAAGAGACTGTCAATGATGTAAATAGGTGATACATTCTAAGGAAAGCGCCACTCCCAGAAAAGGGAGACAATAAAGAAAATCACATATATCTGTTTATTTTGTTAATGGTACTGCTGAACTTATAATAAAAATAAGACACCTTTGACAGCTAAAAGCAGAGGGAGCTTATGGGTGAGAAAACACCCTCACAATCTGGGTGTGCACTTAAAATTCTCATATGGAAAAGAACCACCAAAGTCAGTGGGAGCTGAGACCCTAAAAAAGAAACTAGAGTTTTCAGTCACTTGTGATATTGGAAGACAGTGGGTGATTCCAAAACAATGCAGAATTGAAGCTCTCAAGTAAGTGTAATAGCACTGATTTGCCTCCTTATTGGTTCATGCATGTAAGGAACAGTCCAGAAATTTTTCACATTGAGATTCTCTAAGTTACTTTATAAATATTATATATTCAGGCTAAGAAAAATATTGTTATTGCTAATATAATTCACAATAATTTCTCAGAAATGGTATTTTGAGGAAAAATAGTTACACTGTCCAGAATTAGTCTTATTTCATCTGAAGTCAACGAACATCTATTAGGCACTTAACAGTGTGTTATGCCCTTTAATACATGCCGGTGATAAAATAGCAACAACAAAAGCCAAATAAACAAAAAAATCCCTAAATTCTAAGACTAATAAGCACGGTCCTTGTCTTCAAGGACCTGAAAGGATCTTTGTCTTCAAGAACCATTATTTTGGTGTGATGTTCTATATAATTGACACTGCTATATACGTTACTGAATTTTACTAGGTCACAGTTATCTATGATTTGAAAACTTAGAGATTGACAAATGGCGGACCAAAGGCCATGTCAACTTGTCTCTTTTTTTCTATAAAGTTTTATTAAACACAATCAAACCTATTTATATACCATCTACACCTCTAATGGTGGCGCTAAACTATTGCAACAGATTCCTGCAACCTTCACAGACTTATGCTTCTATTATATACCCCTTTATATATATAATATGTATATTTAAACCTCACCAACTATTATTACAAAAACACCAAAGAATTGCCGTTAAAAGTCTAGCCTTCATGGAAATTACGGAAATATAGTTGTTAAATGCATTTTTTATATAAATGAAATAGATATTTTAAGGATAGGATTTGTAAAGAGGTATTCTACTTGAACTGTGGAAGGAAATTCTGTATTTCCTAACTTACTATTCAGTCAGAAATAGTATTTTGAGGAAGAAAACTGTTACTATCAAGTATCATATATTCACGACACCAGACAGCTGAATGAACATGAAATTTGAGCACACTGCACTCTTCTTTTTACTTACATAGCACAGGGGGCAGCTCCGTCTCCCTGAGACACACATGGTTCTTTCTCCTCAAGCTCGGGACATTCCTTTTCACTTCCGATTGGAAATTGCCTGATAGTCCTTGTCCTTACACGAGTGCCTGTAGCGGACGTGACATCATGGCATGTTTTTGAACACGGGCTCCATTCCAACCACTCGGACACTTGGCACTGTTTGGTGATCACACAGGACTGGAAGGTAGTTGGTAGTTTCTCTTGTTGGCAGAAGCTGCAACAGAACATTGACAGTTTCACCTCAGACTAAGCAGTGAAGAATTTTGACTTTTCCACCCCAGAGCAGAAGAAGCTTGGGCATTTTTATTTCTCATTGGATGTGTGATTCCAATTTTTGCAAATATGTTAACATTTACAAAATGTAGTAGAAAACAAACTCAATACTAACATTTGATTACTTCTATTTTGGAAGAGTTATTCACAAGATATAGAAAATAAAGGGGATTAGAAGAAATCAGCTAATGCTATGTTTACCATATTGTTTGTTACTCATTCCAGGTTTATTTTAATTTAGAAAACAAGAAACCAGTAGTTGTTAACATAGTTAATTCCCATTATACTTACTCATTTAAATACACTTGTCTGGCTAATTTAAATATTTTAAAAGAAAAAAATTTAATATATGCCTCATTTTTAATATCATATTGTTTTAGTTATCTTACAGTTATATGCTTATTGACTATATCAGCTTTCCTAATACATATTCTAATACATAGCATATAATTAGCTACATTGATTATATCAGAAATATTGGAAAGATATCTGTTTGGCTCTGAAATATAGATATACTCTAAACAAATCATTAACATTTATTTCATCATTAAAGTATTTTTGTTCAAACTTTTGTCTATTTAATTCTATTTGAATATGAGGAATATTGGATACAAAATTGTAGTATCTGAAGATGAACCTAAAGATGCTAAGGATGTGAACAGCTAAAAGAACCTGTAGTTTGAGTTTTCCTGGAATTATGAATGCTTGTGCTGACTTTTAGTTGAATTCTTGACCCATTTCAATAACTACTAGTGTATAGACACAACGTGTTGCCATGATACAGCCAAGATCTTGCCCAGTGTGAGAATGTACTGATAATTCTGTCTCATCATTCGGTGTCTATATTTATCTGTGCTAATTAACCACAGAGGGAGGAAGGTCCATTTTACTTTAACAACTTACATTCAGTTTCCTTAATCCTACTGGCACGCATATTTTTAAAAATTGCATTCCCACAAGACAATTAGAGCTGAAATCATCAAAGTCAATTTGTATAACTTGAGAAGTCTGAGCAAAGGACCATCTGAGAATGTTGGCCTAGGAGGTAACTCCATTTCCCCCACAGCAACAGAGAGAGAAAAGGCCCACCTGTGCTCAAATGCTATGTGCTGGCATTAATGGTGTGCTAAATCTATGTAGCAAAATTATCTTTTTGGCAGGCAACTTTTCACCCTTACACTGGGAATTATTACTGGGAATTAGAAAAAAAATAGCAAATGATGTTTCTCCACAAGTCTGTTTTTACAAATTATCCCTAATTCACTTCCTTTTAGATGTCTTCTCCTTCTTGATACTATTTTCATATACATTGGCATATATTACCCTCTATCCAACACTTCAGAAGTTCAGAGTCTATGTACAGGGAAAAGATTAATGATCTCTTTTAATCTTTTCTAAAATGTTTATTTTTAATTTTATTTTTGAGAAAGTTATACATGAATACTGTATTTATCTTATCCTCCTCCTACTCTTTAACTCTTCCCATGTCCTGTTCCCACTCCTTCTCAATTTTGTGGCCTCTTCTTTGTTTAGAGAATTTGATCATTGATGTATTACCCACTTATAGTTACCTCGATCACCTGATGAAAGCTCACATGTCACCTTTCTACCTGATCACAGTATTTTATGATAAAATAATCCTTTGGGTACATTTCATCTGCTTTAGGGAGACTATGAACTCTCAGTAGGTAGATACACCTCAGGTGTCACTGAACATGACAACTCTTAGAGCATGCATAGGTCTCTTAACGGGAAGTCTGGAGATGAATTAAAGAGATATTGACTCTTGCATGCAATTAGAAACTTCTTTTTTTTTTTTGAGACAGGGTCTTCCTGTAGCCCCAGCTAACCTGGAGCTCACTATGTAGACCAGGCTGGCCTTGAACTCACAGAGATCCACCTACTTCTGCCTCCCAAGTGCTGGGATTACAGGCGTGCATCACCGGCACAGCTAGCTCTTGCACTTACCTGATGTGAAACTAAGATTCGAACATCTGAGCTATAGATTTCTAGGTGAAGCTCATCAGATGAGGACTGTCTGATGCCACTATTGCAAGTTTTGTTTCCTGTTTTATATTCTTCTGTGCAGATTTATATCACATATTTTTAATGAATTTTTATTTTATGCATATAAGTGTTTTTCCTGCATGTCAATGCACAGTGTGTGCAGTTGCCTCATAGACCAGAAAAGGGTGCCAGACTCCAGGAATTTGTATTATGGATGGCTGCTAGCCACCATGTGCTGGAAACTGAATTCAAGTCCTCTGCAAGAATAGCAAGGGCTCCTAACTGTTGAGCCATCTCTCTAGCTCTAGCTTTACCAAGTGTTCATTATAGTGGTGTTGTTAGTCTTGTCAGTTTGAATGTTTTGGGAAGCCCAAGCTTAAACATGAACATTATTTAGCTGTGAATTTTTTTTTTTTTTTGAAATTTGCCAGTAAATGGTGAAACTGGAAACGGTTCTATTGAGTGAGGTAACCCAGACACAGAAAAACAAGCATCAAATGTTCCCTGTCTTCTGTGGCTCCTAGCTCTGAATCTGTAGATGTGAATATCTAGAAGTAACCACAGGATCCAGAAATATAGAAAGAAACTATAGTTGGGGGGAGGGGGATGGAGCTTGAGAGAAGGGAATAGTAAGACACAGGTGCTATCAAGAGGGGAATGGAGACCATGTGGGGTAGTTTAACTGGTGATGGGGGAAAGGAGTGTTATTATGGAGGACAATGAGGAAAAAGAAATTTATGACATAGATGTGAATGCATTTGTATAGTTGAAGGCTACTTAACAAAAATCCCAGTGCCAGGCAAGAGAAACCGCTCTTTGAGTTGTTGACTAATCAGTGTGGTCCAAGAGACTCCCAAAGTAATATACATTAGCGCCATAGCCTTTAGTTGCCTCTCAGAACTTGAATGCAATACCCCATTGCTGAAGATACCACATACTTTTGATACAGAACTTGGAGCAATTTGTACTAGAACTGACCTGGAAGTCTCCTCCCCGAAGACTAGCTCTCACAGTATCAGAAGGTGCTAAAAAAAAGCTGCCAAGGGATCAATGAATGATCCTACTGGGTTGCAAAGCTTATGGATCACAATAATGACTGACCCAGCAAAACATTTCCATTCTAAAAGTGCAATAATGTCACTTTTTATCTTGGAGATAATCAACAGTTGTCTAAGGACTTCTTAATAGGAGGGAATCCTCCCAATGCATGGCACTGTAAACACACCCAAGAACACAAGGCTGGAGAGGTCATAGACTCTAGGAAAGAACCTAGTACTGCCACTTTTGCAAACCTATGTAATTTATTACTATATCATAAATAAGTATCCTTATATTCATAGATAATTGTAGCTCTCACCACTCATCAAAGAAGCTTCTTTTTACAATAGATGGAGACTATTACAAAGCTCCACAACTGATCAAAATCCAGAAAATAAGAGACTGTGAGGTGTGTGGCCCCAGTTGATACATTTACAATACAACTACTACATCTAACACTCAGGGATCACATGTGCGTAAATAAGTATCCTTATATTCACAGATAATTGTAGCTCTCACCACTCATCAAAGAAGCTTCTTTTTGCAATAGATGGAGACTATTACAAAGCTCCACAACTGATCAAAATCCAGAAAATAAGAGACTGTGAGGTGTGTGGCCCCAGTTGATACATTTACAATACAACTACTACATCTAACACTCAGGGATCACATGTGCACGCACATTCCACATATGTGTACCTGCACACATATGAACACGGACATATGTGTATGAGTGTACACAGCGATTTCACTCATTAAGACTTTCTTTAGTATTGGTACGGTTGGTTTTAAGGGCAACTTGCCTCAAAATTGAATCACCTGAGTAAGGAGTCTCAACTGAAGAATTGTCCTGATCTCTTAATTGATATGGGAAGACCCACCCAAATGTGGGTAGCACCTTTTGCATATGCAAAAAGGGGTGTGGTAGAAGCAAAATTCTTTTACTTGTTTGACCTTCTTCCTAGGTGCTGAGTTGATCTATCCTGTTGCTGCTGCTGCTGCTACTGCTCCCTGTTGACAGCTGAGCCAGTGTTTCCAGGCTTCTATCATTGACTGAGGACCAGAGGCTCTTCAGGAACCCCTGTGGACTCAGCAACTACCAGGTTGTTGGCTTCTCCAGTGTGAGACAACCACTGTGAGGTTACTCAGGCTGGTGAGGCCCCCACTCAGCCTCAAGGGAACAAGCAGCTACCAGGTTCTCAACCTCTCAGGTATGATTCAGCTGTTGTTATAATTTTGAAGTAAAGTTGATTAGTTGATCATATAT